TAAAACCTGATTTCAATTTGATTTGGGATTAAACATGAACGATCAAAAAAATTATAAAGAAATAAATTTTATATTTCATGTATACATATATTGTATCAATAAGTGATCGCAGAATAGTATATGTTAAAAATTTCTAATTAAAAAAGAAAATTCATTGTAAGTAATATTGTACAAAATATTTTTCACTGCACTTGAGATACGTTTGAGCAATAATAAGCACAGTACAGCACAGTACTTCAATATGTGTAAATTCCATACTTAGTTAAAAAAAAAAATAAATAAAAAATAGTAATTATAGCTCATTTTACATTAGCATATCACTTTCAACGAAATTTATCGCCTGTGATTATTGTATAATAGGAATCAAAAAAAAGTTTACATTACAAAAAATATGAGCTACAAAAAGCTGATAGATATGATCATTACGTGAATAATGCCTTTATAAATGAAATGTCATCAAAACGACGATGTATCACTTCAAAGCAAAGCAGTTGTTGTGAATGTACAATTAGTCTCACACAAAAAAAGGAGAGTATCCAATGCGCTGTATACGTGTCAAATGATAAATAAAAGTGTACTTTGTATTTCGTGTGTAAGATAACGCGAAAGTACGCGTTTATTACGTACAGGTGGCGTCGTATTTGTTAATCTACGACCAATTTAGTTAATTTTAATTTTATTAGTATTTTTTTTTTTTTTTGTCTTTTTATACCGTACGAAGATGGTAAGACGCGTTTGTGTGCACACGTTGTGTATTCATCACTTTTGTGTTAGGACATAGAGCGAAGGAGGAGGAGGAGGAGGAGGAGGAGGGACATTTTATTCTACAAAGTGGTCCTTAAGGTACTTCATCATGCCAAAGGTTCTGAAGCGCTTGACTCCAAAGACCTTCAGTAGATCATCGTCGCAGATGGCGTATTGCTTATTCTTCGGATCCTGAAAATTGTGCCAAGACAAACCATTAAACGACGTTAATTCACGCTCACACTTTTCATTCAATATTCCTTCCGAAAAACCAAAGTAAACGCTTACGTAAAGATTTTTTTCCTTGATGATGCTCCAGATCTTCCTGACGACCTCGTACCTGGGCATCTCTTTGCTGCCAACCACGGCGGCCAGCTCGGGACTCAGTTTGTGGGCCTTGGTGTAGCCACCGCCCTTGCCACCTTTTTTGGCACCACCACCACCACCGCTGGACTTCTTGCTCTTGTTGGCCCAGTCGGAGTCAGAATCGTCCGAGCCGCCCTTACCCTTCTTGCCCTTCTTACCAGGTTTGCCTGATATTAAAATATGTTGGCCATTATTTTTTACAGCATTACCCACATTTGCCATTTTTCATTATTTTTATGTGTTGATGTCGAAGGGGGAACGAGGTGCCGATTTAGGAAAAAACGCAAAGGCACGCAGAGACCCTTCGCTTGATCTTGGATATACGAAAACTAGCTCTAGTACTTTTTCTGTATACATTGATGTATCAGCATCGTGCACGAGCGCCAGTTTTGTATCCGTTCTACTGATTGATGTACGTATTCAAGTAAATGAGAAAGTATGTTAATAACCTTTCTTGGGCTTCTTTTTGGGACTGTATTCTTCGTCACTTGCGTCCTCGTCACTTGCACTTTCCTCTTCCTCGGACGAGCCCTTCTTGCGCTTGTTACTCACGCTCTTCTTAGGGGCACGTTTGGCGGGTTTTTTCTCTTCCTCTTCGGAGGACTTTTCTTCCTCTTCTTCCTCCTCTTCTTCCTCTTCCTCACCGTCCTCGGACTCCTCGCTGGCGGCCTTTGACTTCTTATTGTTCTTTTTTGGACTGTCCTGCTTCTCTTGTAAACATTCCATGACTAATTCGTCAATTTCCTTCTTTCTGAAAATTCGAAGAAAAAAAAAATTGTATATCCAAAAAATGGTCACATCGCCAATTTTTCCGTAAGGTAGTACAACACGTCAGTTTGTGGGAGGGGGAACGAGGTGCCAATTTAATATTTTACAGTGGCACGCAGAGACCCTTCGGTTTGATCTTGGACATAGAGAAAACTTGCTCAGGCACATTGTTTTTTTGTGCACAAGTACTTGCTTAGTGTCCATATAATTTTATGTACGTTTTTATGACTTTACTCATTTCTCAATAATAGTTATGTCATACGTTACATTCATACTCCATCTGATTTCTACAATTTTTGTCAAAGTTTTTTTTCACATAATTGTCAAATTAAACGCCATCATATTTATGAATAATTATTTTAAAGCATTTACCATAGTGTGGCAAACTAAAAGCACACACTAAGGATGACACTATTATGGTACATTAACTTTAATCCAATGCTTTTGTTTATTTGTTTGTTTTTTTAAAGGAGATATACAAATCAAGTAGTATAACTAGAGATTTTTTTCACGTGAAAATCAATACTTACAAAAAATAAAGAATTTTAGAAACAACGCATTCATATCGTCATTACCTTTCTGTAAGGTCGGCTCCTAATTTCTCTTCCAGTTGTTGCCTGACCTTCTTTGCTGACATGGATGTCAAATCGGCACCTTTCAATATACCTGCAATAATAGAATAATATTTAATTGATTTCTATTACAACCCAACTCTAATCGATTTGGTTAAAGCTCTTGGAGTAATATTTTTTTTTTTTTGCAAATTTTATTTTTTGTTCTCACACAATGTTAGCAATTTATTTTAATAAAGTTTAGGAAAAACTCACAAATTTATTGGTCTTGTGAATTATTTTTACTAAATAAAATTTTCCAAAAATCAATTACCATCTTTACGATTGGTTATTAGCGAGTCTTTAATAGATTACAATCATTATCACTCGGAAAAAAAGATACATTGTCAAGACGAGAAACGGGAAAAATCGATTTTTATTTCATTTGCAGGAAGACGGCATGGCGGTAAGGGGCGCACTTTACATGAAAATACTTGAAATGTGTTTGTGAACACAGGCACGTGAGTGTGAAGTGAAATCAAATGTTTGATGTACAGCTCGAGCACAAGTTTAATGTCAATAATTACATACTCATTTCAATGAGCAAAAAACAATATTAAAATTAAACAAAAAAACAAAAACAAAATCCCAACAACGTCAACTACATCCACATCCTCTGTTTTATACTACATGTTTTACGTAATTTAGTTATCTTTATTAATTAATATTAGTAAAAATCAAGGACCTTTCCAACATTGCCGAGACTTTGAAAAACAGATGTATTGTTGTGAAGCAAATTGTATTACCAGAAAAATCAATTTGAATTACTAAAACCGCGCTAGTGATCGTGTTTTTCTCGAGAATGTATAGAAACTCAAATGGAGACAAAACTTTACCCCAACCGGAGTTCAATAATGTCGAAGGTCCCTACGATAGGCATTCCTTTTCTTGCTCTCTCCTGAATGTGAAATAGAAAAAAAAAAGCTGGGAGCCCTTCTGCCTGCTGCAACCGACGGCATAGGCAACCAGCACATCGACTTGCGGCCGTTTTGGCCAATACTCGCCCTTAAAGCTGCGTTCACAAGGTTGTCTCTTTGTTCCAGTAATTTGGCAAGTGTAAAGGACTTTAATTATGTATTCTACTATAAAAAAAGTGTAATTTATTTATTACATTATGATAATTCAAAGTAAATTCTCAATTGTGTATATGTATCATCAACATCTAGATCAGAAGACCGTTATGAAGGCAGCTTTACCCTTTCTCTTATGGTTCCCCTTTTCTCTTTCGTTCTTCCGTACACCACCGCCGTCTCCTGTAACTAAGCCAACCATCCCTCTTATTCTTACGTCCCTCTGTACATCGCTCCCAAGGCTTTAAGATTTTGCCGAAAATTAGACTTCATAGCTGAAAATCAAGTTGCTTCAGCTTCGTCCACAACGACTGCAGTGTTCTCGTCGTTATGAATTAAAGAGTATTTTTAACCGTTTGAAAGCAAAAATTTTTTTTGTCGAATCGTACACCGCACGTCCTCAGCGACCTCAAGGTCCTTTACACGATTTCAACAACAAACCCGTTGTACATTAAGTACTTTATTCCTTAAAAATGAAGCTCAAGAATCCGGTTTGTCGTTATACCGCAGATAGTTCGAAGCACGACGATCGATCCGGTGATATGCTGACCCGATTCGGTTTGAATTTTAAGTCATGATTTCACCAAAAATCGAGATGCCCGCGTTACACGCGTACTAACGTCGCGGGATAGAGGGCGTTGCTACAGCGTCATGCAGTGTGTGTATACCCAAACACCGGCACCCCCATCCAAATACTGGCAACTTGACAAAGAGAATTCATTTGTTTACGACGTAGAATGAAGTTGTGTCAATGCACATAAGTTGTATTGAAAAAAAAAAAAAAAAAAAAAAAAAAAAAAACAAAAAAAAAAAACAACTACTGTGGATGAAGCTGGAATTTCGCGTTTTCCCAAAAAACTCACCGACAGCCCAAAATTACGATAACAATGCGGAAAGAGGCCTAAAGGGTTGGAGGTGTACAAAAGGAAAAAAAAAAAAAAAAAGAGTAGAAAACGGATGCAGATGCCGCGAAAGACAGAAAGACGCCCAATGCAGCCAACGGGGAGCCCGCGCGAGTTTTGATAGGCACACACACATTATATACCATCGTACTACTGCTTTTATTGTTCTTTGTTATGTTAGAGATAAGCAAAATCACGCTGGACAATGAAGACACGACTTTGAATACAGATAAAAAAAAAGAAAAAGACAATAAATTGTCTTTTGCTTTAGATCGCGTGCGCGAGAGATAAGCCGGCCGTGCGCTTTCTCGTACTAATAGCCGTGCACGTATATGTATAACTCCATTGAGAGTAATGTTTGTTACTGCCACGGCACAGCTTGTAATGGAGTGTTAATTAGGGGAAAATAGATGGCGAGAAACGTTTCGAATAGATATGATGATATGAACTCCGAAATGGCTGACAGGGAGATAGGGATAACGCGGAGTGTATGGACAGCGTGAGGCGACGCCGAGTGATTTTGGAAGGTAATGAAAGCAACGCCCAGCCAAGCGGCTCCGAGAACACGCGCTTTCGACATCCCAGTCTCACGAGTGCGTTACTCCAAGGCCCTCGAATGGCGTAAATACAGAGTTAATCGGTACTCACCGGTGATCTCCTTGCGGAGCTCGTCCTTGCTGATATCGGCCATGTCGGATATTATACTCTCTCTCTCTCTCTCTCTGTACTTCTATACGTGTTCTCTCTGCTCTGCTTGTGAGGCTCAAGTGTATATATAACGTATATATGTATTTATAAAATATGCATGTAGGTATATATATATATATATATATATATATATGTATGTATTTATACGAGCGGCGACTATATGTACCGTACCAACTTTTTCCGTCGACGGTCCGCTGCCAACTGAGCTGCGCGCCACGAATCGTCCCGCTCTATGTTATATCGTTTTTGCAGTTATTAGGGTATCCACACACAAAGTGTTGGAATGGATAAAACCGAATGAACGCACGTTAAATCGATGCTTATTGAGAGGGAAAATGTTTTTAATTTTTTGAAAATTTCATGCATACATATAAATGTATGTGTGTGTGGCTTAGAATTAAGTTGGTTTGTTGACTAAATCACAGATGATAAAATTTGTTAAAATAAAAATAGTAAAAGATCAATTTGCATTTTCATCAAACGTGAAGCTTTTTCGGTTAGAAGTTTAGATGGTATATTTTATTTTCAATTTTATATGATTGATTGACACGTGACCTAATTCTTTTTATTTGTTGTGTGATTTTTTAAAACATATGTGATTTGTTTGCCAACGATAATGAAAAATAAAATTCTAGTATTTGAAATAAAATAAGTTTTTAATGCATAGGCAATTTGTAGTAATTTTTTTATTTGTTTATCCTTCACAAAGAAATGAAAATACAAGAAGCTGTATACAAGTTGATGTGAAAGTAATTTGTACGCAATGTTTTGTAATTTAATAATGTCTCAGACACTGGATACATACATTTGAATGAAAATATAGTTGACATTAAAATTATTTGTGAAAAAAAGGCATATACATAATTAACGGTAATGTAAAAATTGTATAGGTGAGATTATCTAAGTTTGAAAAGACGAAAAATAAGCAAAAAAATAATAGCGCAGCTATACTTACTAAACAATACAATATCAATTTAAACACACTTATCAGTGCACATTGAAGAAGTCCCAATAACTTAAATCACACAAAAGTGTTAAACGTACTATGTTCAACACTCCGTATAATATTGTAAATAGTCACTTGAACAAAAAAATGCAATTACATTTTTCTCTCGTATGTTAAGCTTTGAATCTGGTTATGTTTTTATAGTAATAGTAGCATAAATTGAAACAATAACATTCGCCACAGATGCGTATCCGTCCAGGGCGATCACCAAGCCCTATTGATGACACCCTAGAGATAGTGGTGAAACCTACATTGCAGGCTTTTGTTATTACATGGGATAAATCATATCTGAAAAAAAACAAGATTTTCGGTAGAATTGAACACAGTTTGGGATTTGTTGGATTTGGAAAGTTGGATTAGTTGCTTGGAGAAAACGTGAAATCGCACGTAGCATTTACAATCTTTAAGGTCGTAAGATTTAGTGCAGTTTATAATGAATTCTGGTTTGGAATTTTGAACATTGGTAATAGAATCGTGTTATACTTATTTGGTCAAATAAAAATTTATTCAAAAATACAACGTATCGTACATGTAAATTACCAAGTTGTTTGTTTGAGTCCTATAACAGTGATGTGATGCATGATTTTCTATGCACGACTCTTCTGACGTGATAAATGCTTTTCTGAATAAACATAATGCTATTAATATTATTTATGCACTTTGCATGAATCGATTACCTAAATTTCCTCATTATAGATTACATTGATTATAATAATATTTAAAAGTAATAATCAAATTATCATCTTCATGAACTTTACGATATTTTTTGTCTGAGTAGCATGAGTTATTTCAGATTTTGATATATAAAATAGTGTTTTTAATTGATTAAAAGTACATGCAAAAATGTTTTTTATAATAGTGGTCTGTAGTAACAGGGTTTTTGAGCGATTACTCTGAGATAATTTTTTCTCTCTCAAGACCACACTAATGGAAAAAACAGAATTACTCTCTGAATACTCTGAAGCAGTACCTCGTAAACGCTATAATTAATTCCTAATAATATAAATAAATGGCACCAACGATTCTTACATAATTTACAATACTTATATTATAACACAAGTGCAAATATTTGAAGCCTAGGCGTTTCTAAATTTTATTTAGTCACGTATAGTGACTCGGTCGAAAAAAAAATTATTTTCAACTTCTTACTATGATAAGCAACAATTTTTTTTAAACCTTGGTTTGTGTTACTATATTATTTGGTATTTATTCTAATGCAATATCAATAATACTAAAAAAAAATATTCCTAATAGGAATGTAATAGTTTTTTGCGCTAGAATAAAATGTTGGAGAAATTATATCACACCCTTCTTGAAATAAAAACAAATGCATTCTTTTGTACAAGATCATACATGTAGCGATTGACTTTTAAAAGTACATTAGTGTGTAAGTACCTTTAACTTGTGGAGGTGAAAAATAAAATAAATAGATTGTGACGTATTCATGAACGGAAGTTTTGGATATTAGTAAAAATTGTAACTTATGGGTCTCCGTGATTTTTTAAACAATCGATTTAACATGAAAAACACTACCTTTGAACTGAATCATACAAAAAATAATAGTATAATGAATAAACTATTTTGATTTGACTCCTACATGTGAACCATAAAAATCTATTAAATACCTCACCAAATCATCATTCTAAGGATTAAAAATATATTGTTTTTTTTTTTNATAGAAATGTAATTTCCGAAAAATTGATTATCAACTAATAAGTTTTTTAAAGTTAAAGAAAAAAAAAGAAAAAAAGAAAAAAAGAAAAAATTAAAGAAATTTTCCTTATTAACACAGAGAGCAGAGCACCTCTCGTCAATCCCGTAAACCAATCGATCCATATACGCATTCCATTAATCATTGCAAGTTCAAAAAACTTTAGAAAATGTACTTACCAATATATTTGTCCATAAAAAAAAGTTATAACTCCAGTGAATTAAAATAACAGAAAAAAAAGCATGTTGATTGATAAAATATTTGAATCAAAAAATTCACAGCCAACGTACGTATGTACAAGGCATCGGTTACACCGTTCGATGTATTGATACAATCCTATATGCTTTGGTAAATCGGATGAATGAATCATCCATGATTGTGAACGGTAGCCTAAGCCAGGCGAGTACACGAGCACGAGGAGAGACCGTTGCCGCGCTCTCCCGTCGCGTCCGTTGCTACACAAGTACAGTCCGAACCAAAAGCACCGGAAAAGTGAGGTTAAGTCGGGTCCTGCTAAAAAATCATATCTCCGAAAACACGGGTCAAATCGAAAAATCAATGTCGCAAAGTCCTCCCACAATTCGAAGATCTGCAATTTTCTTATGATGCGCCGGCCTTGATATTGTCCCCTTTGCCTCAGATTTTCATGACCGAGTGTCGAAGCTGAGCAAAGTTTTTGCCCCTGTCTGTATCGTATCGCTTGGGCTTGTTTATACACGATACACCTCGATACCTATAGCTACGAGTCGGCGGGCGTCGTTGTAGCCGGCTCCCGAGGGCTGAAACAAAACGAGCTTTGCAAGAAAATATCTCGGTAAGGTCGCTTAGGATCGAAAATCCGGCCTCACAGAGTCCGTCCAACTTTTCGCCCCCGACGTTTTTCTTGTGATGCCCCTTTGCGTAATTTTTAGTCCCAAGGCCGCTACGAGCCACCATCTCGCTTTTCGTCATTTGGACCTCTACTTACCAGACTCCTGTTTTTTCATCTCTCGTCTCTCTATTATGCCGCTTGAACGTTCCTTCTTCCGAAATAAATGCGCCAATATTTTTTACCGTTTTACATTTTATTGGATAAAAATGCAAAAAAACACGTAGTTACCGAGTTTTCTGAAAAAAAAAACAAAAACAAAAAAAATTTCTGTTACATTTTTTGGAGGTGCCTGTTTTTGTGTGCATTAAGCTTCGGTTCGCATTGCATATCAATACAACACACATACTTACGTATATCAGCAACAGTGGACGGGCTTAATCTTGTATTGATTAGTCACTGAACATTTTCGTACCATTTCTTGCCACTGTGGGTATTAAATAATATTTAAAATGAAAAATGTATTAAAATGATTAACCTCTTCGGATAGGACAATCAATAAACAATTGATTGATCAATAGTGGGTGGAAATTTTTTTTCAAACCCCTGCACAATAAAGGCGGCAGATGTTTAAAAACATAAAAAAAAAAATAAAAAAATGTTACAGATCGATTGCTCGTCGTCGGGGCAAGCAGCTTTCGCGCAATTGGGTGCGTGTTGTATACATGTGTGAAATCTGTACGCAAGGAAAGTAGAAATACGTTAACAACGTCGCATCAGCAGTGGATTCGAGCGTGGCGCTGATCAGATGGGCAAAACGACGCGCCAAGCAGAGTCGCACCCGTAGGTATAAGTATATCGGGCAGTGCGCGCGGGTACAGTCCTTTTGGAAAATAAGCGCTTTGGCGAGCATCCCCGGGGAACCTTGTGAGGCCGATAAGTCGAGAAGGGCTGGACCAATCGGGAAACTGTATTCACGAATCCGTGTCAGTTTTTCGAGATCTGCAATTTTTTTTAGACGCCCCTCCCTCGAATTTTCGTCGCTGGGGCGCTGTTGGCTCGGCATCGAGTTACTTTCGGTCGGGATTTTTGGAGCCGAATGTACGCTTGTTTCGGGCGCGTGCACGCCCCGAGGTACGAAGCTACGGGGATTTTTTTTAAGTCGAGATGATCGCAGGACGAGCTTTTCGAGCTGCTGGTGATTGTAGAGCCGAATTTATGGAAAAAAAAAAAACACGAAAACCGTGAATCGGTTGTTTCAAGTGCCACTGCATGATGTTTTAAGATACGTGCGGGGGCATGGCGGCTCAGCCGAGCGCGTGGGTAGTGCACGTGTTCGAGACGTATCATGGGGGTTTGCAGTTCCGTGATGTACTTTAGTCATGGTGAATTAAATAATCAATAATCACGTGAACTAAGGGTTCGTACTACATAGTGTATCGAGAGCTTTTGGTAAAAACGATGAAAGCGTTTGTCGGAGATCGTAAATTTACGAATTTCCTCAGTGGATCAAACGAGGCTGGAATTTTTGGATGGATATGTACTAAGTCCTTACGAAAACTTTGTTCAGAAGATTAATCTTTTTTTTGTTTAAAAAAAA